TAGTTGCTTTAAAAGCAATGAATACCCAGTAATACTATATCCAAATGCTGAATTACTTCTTCTTATGCTATGGAGATACGTTATAATAATAACATCTCACATAATGGACAAACATTTGATATTATATTAATAATACAAATGATTAATACTATAAACAAAAGAATAATGCTAGCAAAGCATAATAATAATATAAAGAAATACTATTGCAAACATACAATCAATCTAATAATGATTAGACAAACAAATAATACAAAAACAAGAGTATAAATGCAACTAAAGTATAATAACTCAAATATAAAAACAATTTATACTATCACAAATGCACAGTCACAATAAATAACATATATTTACCATATACAAATATATTGCATAAATATACAAACGTATACAATAAAATAATAAAATATATTGTATAGATATACAAATATACAAACATACAAAGTAATAATAATGCATTTGAATGCATAAAACTATTATTTATTAAATAATGCAAAGTTATATACAAATACAATCAAACAAACACATAATAATGATAAAAACAATTAATAAAACATATGAAACAAAGTTGCAAACATTCTAAATGTATAATAACAAACATATATACTTATACAAAGTATTAAATTAAATTAAACCATAATGCTACAAACAAAGAAATGATATAATAATGCAATCTATGTATAATATTGACATTATAAACTATACAGACGAATACATATCTTATACCTTACACAATTACTATTACAATGTGAAAATCGAACAAACAATAGTTACAAATACATTGTAACAATATAATGTATCAATATAACATACATGATAACAAAGTATTAAGTCAATACAATTAATACAAACAGTTTAAACAATATAAACATATTTTGGACACATCAAAAAACTATCATTAACATACAAAATGTTATAAACAATTAAACATCACTTAAAAACTTGACAAAATACAATAATACAGATGCAAAACAAAACAACTAATGCTACAAAACATTAGAGCCTAACATTGGATAGTCTAAAGGGCCAAGCAATGGAAAGAACACTACTGTCAAGTACACAAAAGACAAACAAATGTTGGAACAAAATCGAAAGAAACAAACATAAGTTTGGAACTCAATCAGACACTTCACTAATGATTAAACACAATGTGTGACAGATTTAATTGATCACTACAAACAGTAGAAAGATATTTATTCACAAAGAATATATCTATGATCAATACATAAAGGATATTATTAACTATTTGAAGTTCAAACAATATTATAATAGTGTATTCTTCATTAACAGCCTTGCTTGAAGCTTGTGCCCATCACAAAAGAATTAAATTAATAAATGAAACAGAAACAAAACACAATAGCTTGAATACTTTTGTCATCAAACAGAAGACAAATGATACTGAGCAAAACAAAATAATGCACTACTCAATGTATGCAAATATAATGGACGAAACACACAAACTTAACCTTGCTAAACAATACAATGGATTATAATTATCCAAGTAACAAACTATTTGGACGTATGTATAACAATCAAACAAAATACACAAGCATACATGCAATCTATTTGAGTATAAACTCAAATAACAATCAGTATAATGCCAAAAAGAAATAATAACTAAATCAGACAAAGATAACAAATAACATTGAAATTATTCAACAAAACACATTCATGCATTCACATACAATGCTTAAACAAATTATAGAATGATGAAAACGTACAAACAAATTGATTATACATGAAAGCCAATTACTTAAAGCAAACCTTCTCAAATTGAAGGGGAGTAATAACAGCATATATTCACAAAACATAAAACATAACAAATGAATGATTGAAACATAGCAAACAATTAAATGATGTGGAAATATTGACTATGTCACCATTTAATGTTACACATCCTACAAAACACAATTATAAAGTTATTACAATGAATTCAAAGTAAATCTGTTGAATCTGATGAGTGAATCTGACAAATCTGACAATAATATACTTATACAAAGAGACACTTTCTCTAAAATCTTTGATGGTCACACTATACAGAGCACTATTGAATGTATTACAAACGAATATATTATAGAGTATATACCTAAACACAGAGAAGTACACTACATACAACAATGTTGAGCAGAAAAGCATCTCTAGTACATAACAAACTATATGGAATTATAGAACAGAACTATGTCTTCCACAATGGAACATATGTTACATTGAAAATAACAATCACACATCATGCAAAACTTCCAACACTTATTCCCTAACATGTGGAACATAATAGTGAACGAATAACTAAGTAAACAAAATAATATTCAGACATATAACTGGGAAATAATCCAGGCAAGCCAAGAAATGGCACATATTCCTAAAGCAATCTATACTAGACATACAAAGCACTTGCTAAAATTAAAAGAAGTAACAGACGTAATGGCAATCAAAACGTTAATCCTTTTGAATAAAACAAGATAATGTTGATCATAATGAACAAAAATGAGTAATACACTCAAAATAAATGAAATAAATTCATATTTCATAACAAACACACACATATATTCAGCAAATAAAGTGAATATAATAATTAAAACAATATCAAACAGAATTTGATACAAAATAAACAATAAACGAATGAATATTACAATATACAATGAAAAATAGAACTGTGAAACATACTATTTCATCTATCTACAAAATAAAAACAATGAACACATATTATAATTGTGTAAAGCAATATATTAATCAAATAAACATTACTCAACAATAATAAAAACATTATCACAATGATAAAACAATACAAACATACAAATAACATTATAGTTTGTAAAAGTCAAAGGACACATTAAACAATAATGAACACAATGCACACATATAACAATATTAAATATATCTATTGCAAAACAATACAAACATACTATATGTTTAAAACATAAATAATGTGCCTAAACAGACTTACAAACAGTCAGATGATAAAATAAAACAAATTACAATGAATAAAACCTCAATCAACCTTGATATGAAGTGATCTGACATATCATAAATGATATTACAAATTGCAAACAATACAATGCTTCAATATAAAGGCATAGAACTACTATTAAATGCTTAAAAGGTATGAATACAAAACGAACACAAACAAAGATGATACATGATGAATAGAGGACATTATAATAACATCAACAGTACATTTTACAGGCATGATTCAACAGTTTCATTGTAAAAGTAAAAGTGGAAAACTACTAGTAACACAATTCAAATGCACAAAAATACAAATTAATGAGAACAAATTAATAACACACACATTGTTATTAAATATAGTATTAACTATACAAACAAAACAATACAAACGAATTACAATGATAATTACACATCAAGTGTAAGAATACAAAACAAACTACACATATAATAATACAAATACAAACAGAACAAATAACAGAACAACTGTAGAACAATACAGTATGATAAAATAAACATACTATGACACAAAACAAACAATATGACATGAAAAACAAACAAAACAAAGTTATATCATATCATATTATATTGCAGACAAGAAAAACTACTATCATACAAATGATAAAACATTATAGTGACAACTATAATAGTAATAATAATAAAACTACAAACGAACGAATGCTAAAGAGATCCTGCAACTCTCTTAGCAATCATAATTGAATTAACAATCGATTTATTACATTAAACATAATAATAATACATTGGACAAACATAACACTTACAGTGGACTTAATATACAAAGCCAACAAAACATTTACATTGCAAATGTAAATGATATTAGTAAAAACAACAGACAAACACATATCAAACATTATATTAGTCTGATCAACTAGTATAAGTTTGAAGGGGAGTGTTAACATTTATTTCGGATAAATGCATCATATGTCTCAAATCACACAAACGTCTTGCAAATATACACTATTGCTGAGACATGTCTTCCAAGACATACATCCAAGACATACAATATTAGATAGTATATATATTACTTTAATCCAAGGATGATGAAGCTCATTACAAACCACACAGTCGACTTGTATCAACACCTATGCACTATGAGCAGAGTCCACTAAACCCCTACTAGTGTGACTAACTCTTAGTATCCTTGTGAGCAGTACACAAACCTACAGAAGAATATTTCCTATTGTTTAGGAAACATTATGACCTCAACATGCTAACATGTAACAACTACTAATAGGTAGGGTTGTTGGATCTTCTAAGGCCTGTAGGAGAACAGTAACATTAATACAAATTCTCTGTCTAATACACTTTATTTCTCACAAGTAGCAAGTATTCAGAGCTCAGACATAGTAGTAACAACTGATCTGACTCTAGCCATGAGACAAGTAGAGCTTGGTCCTGTACTGTATTATATAGATACAGTATTTTTGTATACAGTACTATACTGTATCCATATAAAAAATTTGACTCAAAAATACAGTACATATTTTACAGGCTGTAACTGTATATAGTCTGTATAATATAGACTGTATATACTTGTATACAATATACAGCTACTAAATAAAAGAAACTCTTGCTCTAAACATAATACTAAAGCTCTAATAAGTAGTATTCAATGTTCAGACACTTATACTAGTATTTACTAATATATTCAGTACTATTATTGTAAAAGTATGTGTAATCTGATATATATTCCAATATATAGGTACATTACATGACTCGACTTTATGACAAATATCACAGACTAAATTACATAACAAAATGTCAATAAGTTAAATTTTATACATTTCATGTAGATTAAGGCATAATATAGGTAGAATTCAATATTTCTATACTAAAGAGGTAATATCACAATGATGTAGCCCCTTACATTTCATGCTACACCTTGGTAAATGTAGCAACTATGCTGTATCCGTATATGGTGTATATGTTCCGTATACAGCCATACTGTATCTGTATAGGTTTTTGGGTTCAGAAATACGGCACCGTATTATATGAGCCGTATCCGTATAAGGGTCGTATTATACGGCCCGTATCCGTATATGGTACGGTACCGAGCCCTAGAGACGAGTGATGGTCATGACCAATCCACGTCGCCTACCGCCGTCACTACCTACAGCAGCCCGAGTCCGGAGTCGGGGAAGTCACCGACGAAGAGGATAACCAAGCTCTTCCCGTTCGGGCATTTGCGCGACAATGACAGCAACGGTTCATTGTTCTCGTCGAAGACCACAATTTCCAATTCGAATCCGCATCTCGGGCAGAGGGGATCGTCAATGGGGCTACCGAATCCGTTTGAGATTGCTGCTGCGTTGACGGCAACGGCGAAGGGTCTCTCGCCGATGCACTTACTCCCGAACCATAAACACGCGAACTTGGATGTGAGACAGTCTGATTCACCCGAGTCGTTCATAATCATTAACGAAGAGGATGGGATCCCAACTCCCATGCGGCAACAGCGCTTTGAGAATGCAAATGCTGGCACGATCGTAGATGAATGAATCGGCTCTGCATGGAAGGTCTGGCGCACCTTCCAGCCTTGCTGACCGACGACGCGCTAACTTAGACGTACTCTACCTCACATCTACCCAAAGTCGAGCAGGTTCGCCAAGCCCCAGCCGTGATGGATTCCGAGCAGCACGAGCGAGTGTCCTCGCATACTACCAGGTCCCACCGCCATCCCCACCTCCTTCCTCCAAGACCAGACAGAGTAAACGACGCACCTTTCTCACGCCGCGGACGCGATGACAACCAACTATTTATCACCCGGTCGAGCCTACGCTTCACGTTCTCCGTCTCCTCTCGGTCCTGGTGGTCGATACTCGCGATCGCCTTCTCCAGGGATGGGTATGGGTCAAGTCCGTCGTGGACGAGAGTCTCCCTTCCCAACTCGTCCCATCCTCCCACCGCAAGACAGCCGAGAACTCGTCGAGCGTGTCGAACGATACAAAGCTCTATACGCTGCTGTCGGCGCTGACGGTGCTGACGTACCCGAGGACGCATTTGTGGATATGGACGAGTTCTTTGATAAACATAGTTCAGCGTATATCCGCGCTGCGCGTGCACGTGGGGAGAAACGTGTGTATTTTGATGTTGTGAGGAGGTCGTACGAGGCTAGTCTGCGGAATAGTCATACATTTTATGTGAATGGTCCTCATGCGATTTTGCCGCCGGAGATAGCTATCGAGCCTGCAGACGACTACGATCCTAGATACAACAACGATAACACCGACTTCGACGACGCAACAGATGAACGTCTCCGTTACTCCACCACACTATCTGACGCCGAAGTAGCAGCTGCCGAACATCTTAACACATTAGAAACAGTCGTAGAAGAAGACTCTTCTTCCGACTCTCGTTCATTCGCAGCTTCTTCCGTATATTCACGGTACAGCGTATTGGACGAAGGAAAGAGCGCTGCAGTACGCGAAGGGTTTGTTAGGAGGGTTGCAGCACTGTATGGTCAGGATAAGTTGTTACGGGAGGAGATACCTGAGGTCCCGAAGATACCTAATGAGTTTCGCGATGCTGCGCCCGCTGCTGGACGGCCCCCGATGAAAAGGCTGCTGCCGCGTTGAAGGTTACCAGTAGCCCATTTAGATTTTGAGTATGAACTGTTCCG